CCTGATCGGGTACTTGGAGGTATAGGGGAAGGTGGTTTCCCTCTGGCAATGTCTACCAGTGTCTTTCACATTAGCAAGGGTTAAAAAGCAGTACTTCTTGGAAAAAGTAGAAAGAGGCAATTAAGTGGCACAGCTATCCAATCTCTGCTCTCTGGCCTGCAAATGTTGGAGTAAGGCTTAATGAAATCTTTAATAAACAGTAGCTGACATTTAGCCCTTAGAAGGCAGAAATGTGCTGTGGTATAAGACATAAAAGCATATTGTCCATTCACCGCATGAAAACTGAACTAGAAATCATGGGAGTAGAGTTTCCAAGGGACAGCTGGAAATCAAGACCCATGGAAAATAACTGAAGGGGATTAAGAATGTTCTAAGAACCAAAAATTTAGAGCCAGATAGCTAAGAACAATTGATAGTTTTCTATTTCAGAGGTGAGAAAGTTGAGTTCAGAGAGTACATCTCTGCCAACAGTATCCGGCTCTTCTGGTCTGAATATTCTGGGTGAAAATGGGAGCGGCAGGGAACATGACATTGAATAGGCTTCTTTCCAAATAACTGCTATAACATCAGCTGCAACTTCTGGTTTCCTACCATTATTCTTGTTAGCAAACCATGTAAACAAGTTCCATGTTGGTTGTTGGACTAGAGTACTGACTTCCTTTCCTAATATGAAAGGGAACTTTGTCCAAAATAAGGATCCAATAAAATGTTTCAATACATGGGGGCTAAAGCCAAGATGCTGTTTCCAGTCACCTGCCAGCTTCCTTAGTTCTCTCAGGTTAGACTTCCAAGGTAAGCCAAGATAAATATTTCCCTGGAAAGTGACGAAAAGAATCTTAATGCTTCAAGAATTCAATTCCTAAGTTGTTGGTGACCAGCAGACCTTCAACTTCTCTCAATCTTGTTTATGTACTATAGAATTTAATTGGCCTTAACACTATTATATATAACACATTTTGAGATGTGTATACACTGGAGGATGGCTGAATCATACTAACATGAATTACCTCACTTATTTTATGAGAATCCAATTTGTAGTCACCATGGTATACAAAAGATCCCTTGAACTTATTCCTGAGTTTGTAGCCTTTGAGAAACATCTTTCCATCTCATGCTCTGCACACAAGTAACTACCATTCTACTCTCTGCTTCTATAAATTCAAGATTATGTGTTTAAGTGAGAAAATATACTTTTTCTATGACTGGTTTATTTTAACCTTTTCCTCTAAGTTCATGTCACAAATGACAAGATTTCCTTTAAGACTGAATGTAGTTCATTGTATACATATACCACCTTCTTCAACTATCCATTGATGGAAACTTTGATTTAGTAGCTATTGTCAATAGTGCTATAATGACTATGGGAGTGTAGATATCTCATCAACCTACCAATTTCACTTCCTTTGGATACATACACACTAGTGGGATTGTTAGCTCATAGGGGTAGTTCTATTTTTTTGAAGAATCTCCATAACATTTTCTGTGATGGCTATACTAATTTACATTCCCACCTATAGGGTTCAAGCGTTCCTTTTCTCTACATCCTCACCAACGCTTTCCTTTTTCGTAACAGCCATTCTGATGGGCAAGAGGTGATCTCATTGGTTTTAATTTGCACTTCCCTAGTAAGTGAGAATGCTTAGCATCACTAATCTGTTGGTCATTTGTATATCCCTTGAGATGCCTATTCATGTCCTTTACTCCTTTTTATTTGGGTTCCTTATTGAGTTACATTTTAGACATTAGCCCCTTATCAGATGTATGGCTTGCAGCTGTTTCTCATTCTACATCCTGTCTCTTCATTGACTTGGTAAAGCTTTCTTGTGAGACAGACATGAACAGGAACACCCTGGCTAACACAGGGAGGGAAACTGACCTAATAGGATCTGCTGTTATGGACTCAAGTGTCAAACTAGAGAGATAAGAGACAGACATATGGCCGCCTTTCAGAGCTTCACAGACAAGCATGACAAGGAGCTGACACTAGACTAATGGAAGAATTTGTTTCCAAAAATAGGTGCCTACCCTCAAGGAATTCAGGGTAGCTAGAACCGTTACACAGCTAGTATGCAGGCAAGACACACCAGGGGAAGCTGAGGCTGACAACTGTGCAGTGGAAAGCTACCCCAGCATATTAGAATAGGAAGCTATGTTGCCATATTGCTTATGTGTAGAACACCTACAAGATCAGTTAGCAAGAGCCACACAAGGAATATATTTTTTCTCTAGGAAAAAAAGATACAGGGATGAATTACATTATTCTGGATTGATCAGAACAATTTAGTTGGAAGGGAAAGAACTAGCAATTTAACTAGAAATGAGTTAACTAAAGTTAAACCCATTTGGAGGACGGTGAATAAGGTTGGGGTAGTAGTCTCATAAGTTACTTGATAGAGGCTATTTAAAATTAGATGCCTCCAAAATTGAGGTTTAATGGGGCCTCTGAGGGGAATAATCAAGTTTCTGGTTTAGCTACGAGACTATATTAAACTATAAGCTAATGGTTCAAACTGACTTCTCAAGTAACTCAACTTCAAGCTAGATTTTGGCCAGAGACATTAAGTCTTTCCTTGCAACACACTTTCTCTGATCAGACTAACTTCTAAGATTGTTAGAAAACCAGTAACACTGTATCTGCAGAAATATGCTCTGTGGAATTACGTATTCTGAAAAAGGTTTCACGGTAAAATAAGGGAAATAGATTTTGCTCCCTTTGAAGGCATACTATGTTAATATAAACAGTCCCAGAAACCCTGCTAGAGAATCTGGCAAGTCCTTAGTAGAGGCTTAAGTACCAGGGTTTTCTTTAACTGCAGTATCCATAGGTTAGTACAGGTGTTACTTTTTTTGAGACAGTCTTGCTCTGTTGCCCAGGCTGGAGTGCAGTGGCCTGATCTCAGCTCACTGCAAGCTCCGCCTCCCGGGTTTACGCCATTTTCCTGCCTCAGCCTCCAGAGTAGTAGGGACTACAGGCGCCCGCCACCTCACCCGGCTAGTTTGTATTTAGTAGACAGGGTTTCACTGTGTTAGCAAGGATGGTCTTGATCTCCTGACCTCGTGATCTGCCCATCTCGGACTCCAAGTACTGGGATTACAGGCTTGAGCCACCGCATCTGGCCCACTACCCTCCTCTTAGAGGGGCAAGTGGCCTATATGCCAGGTTGTGTTAAAGCTTTTTCCTCTTTTGGAAACTCAGATTCCTGGCTTGTCAGGTCAGTTGCATTTAGAGAACTCTATACACTGGCTTTGTTTTAGAGGGATAGGCTAAAAACTTATGCCCATATCTATTTCCTCATAGAAAAAGATGAGACTTAGCAATTCCCTTCTCCCATGTACCCAACTTTGTTTCCTTGAATCATCTGACATTTGTCAGAGTTGCTGAGGAAGCCTTCCTGTTCATTGCCAATGCCTACTATGCTGCTTATATAGCCAATATACATTTTAATTGAGGAGACTTGAGTCATACAGCAACTAGCTAGAATAGCTCCCTGCCAGCAGCAGCTGTTGAGCACTTGAAGTTTGGTTAGAATTTTAGTTTAAAACAGGTACTATTCAGCTATTGGAAAATAGTTGGCTATAAGTTTTCCCAACAATCTAGTATCTAGAAGTACATAGTATTTCCAATTAATGTTTAACATTCAAAATTTGTTGGGAGTATATTCAGAGATTGAACAGGAAAGTAAAACTTGGAATATTCAATATTAAGTTTCATCTGATGACCAAGTTATATTTGTACTTGAGTTGTTTAACCTAGTCACCAAACACTACCCCCACTGCAGTCAGAGACTACTCTTCTCTAAATGTCTGACTTCAGCACAGGTCAACAGACACAGACCTTTGCATGTAACATAGCCATTATCTCCCCAAGCCATTATCATTCCATAAGCCTAACACAACCCTTTGCCAAGCTGTACCGGTGCCTACCACTGGCAACTAGTCTTTCTGAGGACCTGAGTTTTCAGTACCATAGGGAGTTAAGGGTACAAAGTTAGTGCTAAAACTTGAACTGGAGTCTATCTTTTGTTGCTCAAGTGGCCCTGGGCAAGTTATTTGACTTGTATCTGTCCCAGATTCTAGACACGGGGGATGAATGAATACTATGATATTTTCATGAGGCTCAAGATGTTAACATCAAGCTTCTAGGATAGTTTGTTGCATAAAAACTATGTATCCCTGTAAGGTCAGGGTTTACATCCAGATTAGCAATTTGAAGTAGGGTTGGCTTGATTACAAAGCAGCTGTTCAGGAGTATAACACCTTTAGCTTGCTGAAAGGTCAATTTAGAAGTTATTCCCTGAAAAATAAGTAGGCGAAGTTGATCGAACCAGGATTAGTTTAAGAACTTCAGTGAGAATAGGGAGTACCGCAGAGCATGGCTGACCAGCAGCATCAGTTACAAGAAAGTTCCTTAAACAGGACATTTGCCTTGAGAAGTCAGTGATGACATCCCTACCACACCCCCCTTTTTTTTTTTTTTTTTTAAGTCTTAGTTCTTAAGACTAGGAAACTAACTTGTCAGTTTGGCTCAAAACTAAGTCTCTAATGATCAAGGCACCTCCAGTTGGCCAATCGATAATCAGATACCTTTAGTCACTGTTCTAGACATTGGTTTAAGTCTGGTGCTCAGACCAGGGAAGATCAGCATCATCTAGGAAATGGTTAGAAATGTGAGTTTAAGCCTTTGTCCAGACTTACTGAATCCAACTCTGAGAATCGGACCAGTCATCTGTTTCTACCAGCCCTCCCGTGATCCTGAGGCACACTCAAGTTTGAGAACCAGCTATCTAGATTCATAGTTAATTTTACCCTAGTTTCATTGATCTTATGGAAGAATTTTATTCCGTGTTCTGACCTAAGACCTCTGCTAAGTCTGAAATTTTTGTATCAGTTTTTATTCTATGCTGAGTTATATTGCCAAGCTTAAGAGATAAAATGACATGAAGAGATGAACTAGTCTGAAAGTAACCTTTTACCTTTCAAATGAGAAGCTCAGCACAGGCTGGGAGTACAGTCTGGTTTTATTGACATGTTTGGTCTGGACAATTCAGCTGTTTGATAGCCAAGTAGGATACTACTAAGCCTCCAAGGATTAAGGTCCCAGAAAGGCCTGCCACCCACAGAACTTTTGAGTCTACAGGAGCACCTGGAAGATGGAAAGGTAGATTAATGTATGCTAAAACCAAATGATTTGGTGTCCAAACAAAGACTAGCAGTCTTCTGCTATAGGAAAGTCAATTTCTTTTGACTAGAACACAAGGGGTAGGAAAGGAAGAATTCGGTTTGACTGGTAGTTTGGTTCACTAGTTAGATCTCCTCCCTCTTGGATACTTACGGAGCTTTTCTGGAGGGTCCTTAGTGGCTTGGAGTAGAATCATGGGGCCTTTGCTAGAAACACTAGCAGTAGTGTTCTGAAAAATGGTGCCTGAATTTCTTCCTGTTAGAGAAATGAGACCTAGTAATTCATTAGTTTTTGCACCCATAGAGCAGGGATAGAAAATGTTTTGGTACAAGGCCAAGTCTCTATAAAGCTTGGTTCTATGCCTTAAAAAAAACCTCATTAAGTGTATTAATACATACTTGAACAATTCAGATTTTGTATCTGATGCCATTACCTTAGTTTCACCAGGACTTTGCTTAGAAACTATCCCTGAACTTCCATGCTTTTCTAAACAGAGTCCTTTGACAGTAACATGTTTATAATTCAGAGATCTTTCCCTGTGATTCAAAGGTAACTAGAACAGAACTTGGAGGCTGAGGTGCAGAGAAATTTAATGAGTTTAGTTCTGGTTTTCAAATGAAAAAACAATTTGATTCACTTGAAATATAAAAACAGTTTTATGTTTTCTGTATTCCATGTCGTATTAAGAAAGATGGCAAGTGGAAGAATGGGAAACAGACATGCAGGTGGACTGTGAGGAGGAAAAATATTTCTGGAGTTTGAGAACAGCCCAAGCAACATAGCAAGGTCCATCTCTATTAAGAAAAAAAAAAAAAAAGGCCGGGTGTGGTGCCTCACGACTGTAATCCCAACATTGGGAGGCCGAGATGGGTGGATCGCCTGAAGTCAGGAGTTCAAGACCAGCCTGACCAACATGGTGAAACCCTGTCTCTACTAAAAATACAAAATTAGCTGGACTTTGTGGCACATGCTTTTAATCCCAGCTACTCAGGAGGCTGAGGCAGGAAAATCATTTGAACCCGGGAGGTGGAGGTTGCGAGCAAGCCAAGATCTCACCATTGTACTCAAGCCTGGGCAAAAAAGAAAAACTCCCTCTCAAAAAAGATAAGCTGGGTATAGTGGAATATGCCTATAAGTCCTAGTTACTTGGGAGGCCGAACTAGGCGGATCACTTGAGCTCAGGAGGTTGAGGCTACCATGAACTATACTCATGACATTGCATTCCAGCCTGCATGACAGAGCAAGAACTGGTCTCAAAAAAGAAACAGTGTAGAACTGTTTTAATTCTCCTTCTTTTGCCAGTTGTAGGACCTTAATCTAAGGTGGTTCATTCTTTAGAAGTAGGGATAATATGCATTTTTGGAGATGTTAAAGTATTTAATGTTGTACTTGGCATAATAAGCACCATTTAGTTACTATGAGTTTTGCTAGAAGGGACTTAAAGCTTCAGAGGTCATGAATGCCAACTCAGAGGCTAGACAAGTACAGGTTGAATCAGGTAGACATACAGACACATTGACTTAGAAGCATTGGCCACAACCAACTAGAGACCACATTCTAGGTCCACTCATTCTACTTATAGATCTTTAGGCTGCATTGCCAGACCTGTCAAGCAGGTATAGACATGTTTACTATCCAGGTGTATCTTGTTAAAATGAGACATAAGATGGCCATAAACTGCCTTGGTTTGTGCATGAATTCAAGTTCATATGGAAAAAGCTAAGGATGAGGGTTACCTAAACATTTATAGCTTATCTTAGACATGGGATTCTGGGAAGCTAGTCAGCTTTGTTCTGTGGCACTGCAAGTAATTAGAGAAGCCTTAGTAAGATGAATCTTCAGTTTGAGTTGTTTAGCTAGAGACTAGGAAAGGTTAGACATGAGACTCAAGATTCATCCAAGTCTGTCCTCTAACATACAATCAGCTTAGATACTCACGACTGAGATCAGGACAGGTTACCGCACAGGATGGTGTCTCAGCAGGCTGGCAGACTGACACACTGCAGTGCAGATGCACCTGGGAGCCAACAGAATTCAGATCATTTGTAGTATCACCATGCTACGTGTCTCTAAACCTGCTTTGTCTCCCCAGGAAGAGGTTCAGGAAGTTATTGGCAAATTGATATGGTCCAAAAGTTGATATCACAATAGCACTAAGGAACTGGAGTCCAACTGACAGATGCCACTCATGTGATTGGTAACAAGGGTTGCTCCGAGTACCAACAGCCAGCATTAAAGGGCTTCCTTGGCTGCAGAGTCATAGGACATGGAAACAGTTGTAAGTTGGGGAGGTTCAGAGCCCTGGTGAGGGTCATGGAAGGGAACATCCTACCGGTCCCCTGAGGGCCTGTTTCTCCGCTGTAGGGTCCACAAAGCTGAAGGTGAAGATGCTGAAGCGCTGGTAGTGAGAGGGAAATGGAAGATCCAAGGCTTTCTGGACAGGGATCAGCTGGGTCTGATAGTTGTCTCCAATGTAGGGGCAGCTAGACCAAGAGACCCGGCAGTCAGGATGGGTTTGAGAGTCTCAGCACCGGTGCATGAAAGAACCACTTACCCCTTTACCAGGATGGGCCACTGTGGCTGACTCAGTGGGTCTGTGCTGGGTGTTGCCCAACACTGATGTAGGAGCAGCCCCAGGGAGGGGTCTGTTCTGTGAAGGATGGAGACCTCCACATAGATGGGATCCCGAAGCAACTTCACCACGGGGTAGTCACCAACACCATAGTAGGAGCCATAGTTTTTATCTGCAAGAGGCAGAAATAAGGATTTAAAGTAGTCACCTCTCAGTGACTTGAGGGACTCTCATCCCCTTAGATAGCCCCAAGCCGCTTAAGTGTCTTGTTACTAAGTTAGGGTCTTCATGCCCCCAGAAGACTGGATTTAGACTATATGCCAGATACTCCAGCCAAGGGGGTCATACCTTTGGCAATCTGAAGTTCCAGAGTGAGGGGTCCAGGCTGGGTCTCAGGAAAGGGTGGTGGGAGAGTAAAAACCTGGACCTTGATTGGGAGAGAGTTGCTACTTACTGAGTAGCTGCAGCTGACATGGAGCCTGCAGAGAAACAAGATTTTAGCTAGTTGGTTGTGGGAGAGGCAGGTGTCAGTTATACACATCCTTTCTTTTTAACTCAAGGAAAACATTAAGTGCTAGACAAGTTTGTAAGTATGATGGATGTGGTTCCCGCCCTGCTGGGAGCTGTATTTTAGCTGCAAGTAGGACCAATGTTTGAATTGGAGATAAGCACACAGAAATAAAGATGCATCATGACAAACAGATACCTACTGTAGAGCAGATCAGGGAAGACCTTAGAGGTACCTTGATATGAAGGTGAAAGAAAATAAACTTGAGGTAGATGGAGAGCCTCACCCAATATAGAGCAAAGTCTGGAGGCAAGGAAGTGCTTGAGGCCCTTTGAGAGTTCCATAAAAGAACCAGGCTGCAATCAGGGAACAGGGAGTGAGGGACTGAGAATGTTCAGAGTGAACAGGCTGGAGATGAAGTAGGAGCTGTTTTATGCAGGGTCCCGATGTTCATCTTAAAGCTTTGTTTTTTCCATGGCTTTAAGGTGTGTGATATGATAGACCTGAGGTTTTAGAGGAATTCTTTTGGCCATAGCATGGACAATGGAGAAGGCCAAGATGTAAAATGGAGAAATGTAGGCTAAAATGTAGAATAGAGAAGGCCAAAATGAGAAAAAAATCGTTAAGTGAAATAGCAGAACTCCAGGTGAGCTTGAGACTTAGGTCGGGTTGGAGACAGCAACACAGATGGACTTAAGTAATGGGCAGTGAGATTGGTGAACCAAGGTAGCAGACAGGTTCTCCCAGTACTGAGGAGTGCTCATTTGTGGATTCAGGGCTTACCCGAGAATGCCCACTTTACGGAAGAGGGGAAGTCATTCTGGTCAAGCAGGGTCAGGTTACGCAAGCCCTTACCTGAAGATGCTGTCACGAGTGACAGAGCCACGGCTCCCATTTTTCACATCCCTAGTTGCCACCAGTTCATTTTCGTATACTGCTCGGTCTCCAGTGATCTACAGGAACAGATGGAGAAATCTTGACCATTTCTGTTAGCGTTACGCTGCTTGACTCGCATCTGGTCTAAGTCCTCAGCAATGCTACCCCGTTGTATGTTACATTTCCTATTCCTTCAGCAGAGGCGAGAACACATAGCAGTGACATCCTGGCAAGTTATCACTTTGCCTTATTTCAGGACAAAGGAATTGGAAGGGGAATTTGAGTACCTAGAAGAGGCAGCTGAAGCACTACCAATTCCAGTCAGCATCCCTGCTGGTTTCTTCTCTATGGCTTGGTAAATGACAGCCTCTTAGCTAGATCACAGCTGTGATGCTCTTAGCTGAACACCCAGAAGAGATTAACTTTTTCAGTGATGAGGCGTTCTCCTGCCCTAGAGACTCTCCCAAACTAAGCAGTAGTCACAAGTATCCTTCATGGCCAGCGTATTTCAGCCCTCCCCTACTAGTCACTACGACGTTCCCACCCGACTTCCAGAGCCAGAAACAAAGCCCAACTGCTCACCCGTCTTGTGGTGCCACAGGAAGTAAATGGAAACTGGAACAGAACAAAAGCGTGTGTTGCCATCACAGGGTTACACGCACTGTCATTCCTAAGGGCCAAGCGCACAGAATCCAAGAGCAGTGGTGGCGAGGCCACGTTCCGAGACACAGCGATGGAGAAATGGCCCTCTCGGGCACAACGCAAGGTCACTGAAACAGAGCAGCTGTGCTGAAGGCAGGTCATCTCTCCCATTAAGGGGAGAACCAGATGAAAGTCTAACCACTTTTAATCCCACTGAGAAGTTGGGTGTTCCCAGCTGATGACCTCAGTGCAAGATCAGCCACCCAGTTTAACCCAGGCTCTAAATTACCTCCTGGGGTTGAGTCTTGCCTCCCCAACTTATTGTGCGACCTCAGGCAAGGTATTGCGCCTCCTTCAGTTTTATTTAAGAGGGGGATAGTAGCTCCTACCTCATTTTGCTTGTCAGTTAAGATTAAGATCTTAGAATAGAGTGTGCAATGTATTAGGTTGGTGCAGAAGTAATCCCGGCTTTTGCCATTGTGGCAAAGGCTGTGATTATTTCTGCAGGAACCCATAATACTCTGAGGTTGAATTTATGTTAGAAAACCTCAGAGCAGGATTTGAAACATGCAGAAAGCAACAGCCTTGAAGTGAGGCTCCCTAAACAATCCCAGAGTATCAGCCAAAGTCACTATTCCTTGGAGAAAAGTTAAGTTTCTGTCAATTAGCAGTATCTGGCACTAGCAATTATCTGACACATAGCCTTCAAGTCTAAGTGTTATATTGGCTTTATATCTGGATTCAGGGAGAACGGACAGTGGAAGCTGTAGAAAGGTCTGTTACTTTGGGATCCAGTGTTCTTGGATGCGTGGCTACATGGCAGCCTGCTATCACTTACGTTTGCTTTCTGAGCAAACCCCTCTCCGGATTTCACTGTAATTGGCACACTTCCTCAGCTGGTTTCAGAGGTGTGCTCAATTACTCACCGGTGTTTCCGTAGTAGCAGGAATTCACCTCCTCAGAGCTGTAACAGCAGCCTAGCCCCTCACAGTCTCCTCGAGAGATGGGTGAAGGTGCACATGGCAGCCTGTCCCGCGCTGGGATGGAGTCACACCAGTCAGTATCTGGAGCATCTCGGGCTGGGTTTTGAAAAAGAGTAAGTCAGGTTAGGTAATGGAAAAGTTAGTCTTGAATACCATTTTGATGCAAGTCATTGACTTTGGATTCCTGTAGATGTGTACATGATTGAAATAGGTGTATCTATTCCATATTGTAGATACAGTCTTGAGCGGTTACATGCTGTAGATTAAGTCTTGGGAGGCTGTCAACATTAAGTCACCTTGTAAGAGTGCCCTGACAGTTTTTTTTTAAAAATAAAAGAATGCCAACAAGATTCGTAGAAGCAGGAGGGGCTTCTTACTCCTTCAAGTAGCAATCCTTCTGTTCTGTAGAGGCATTTCTCAAGTCTTAGTTTGGATATGAGTTATCTGAAGATTGTTTTTGAGTTCAGGTCTGGTTCAGAACTGGGGTAGGACCTGTGAGTCCTCATTTTATTGGTGCTGCTGATCCTGGCTATGTATTGGGAAGGAAGGCAGGTGAGAAGAGGGAATTGAAAGTTTGAGTCTGTTCTGACTTTGAGGATGGGCTCTCAGAGTCAGGCGAGACTTTCTGAAGTTGAGTAGGCATCATACTTCCTACTGTTTCCTTAGGGAAATGATCAGATACCCCTCCAGCTGGTGGGATGGGAGACCTGGGTCCTAGTCTCAGTGCATATCTATCTCCGTGGAGGTGTTGTTCCAAGTTCCCTTACTAGCTTCAGTTTTCTTTCCTATCATTCTCCCCATGGGTGAAAAACTCCTGGTTCTGGGAGTTCTTTGAATCCCAGCTCACTCACTCACCAGTGATAGGCCCTTGGGCAAACTTCCTGGCAAGAGATAGGTTGGGTTTTTTTTTTTTGGAAACGGAGTTTCACTCTTGTTGCCCAGGCTGTAGTGCAATGGCACGATCTCAGCTCACTGCAACCTCTGCCTCCCAGGTTCAAGCAATTCTCCTGCCTCAGCCTCCCGAGTAGCTGGGATTGCAGGCATGCACCACCACACCTGGCTGATTTTGTATTTTTAGCAAAGACAGGATTTCTCCATGTTGGTCAGGCTAGACTCGAACTCCTGACCTCAGGTGATCCACCTGCCTCGGCCTCATAAAGTGCTGTGATTACAGGCATGAGCCACTGCACCTGGCCAGCAGTAGTGTTTGCAGCACTAGGTTAGGATTAGGGAAGGTAACACCTGAAGTGCTTACACCCACAGTGCCTCGGCATTGAGGAATCTCAATTGGTAGTTATTCTAAGGATTGCCCATGGAGGTGAGAGTTGGGACATGATCCTTCGTTAGTGTCAGGTGTCACTGCACAGAACCGGTCAGAGAGGACTAAGAGCACTTTCACCCCTCCCAGATCCTGAGGGGATCACCCCTTCCAGCCTTTACCTAGAAGATCCATAGGACACTTGAGCAGCTTCCTCTCTGGAACCATCTTGTGTTCAGCCACACCCACTCCTTCAACTCCAACTGGCATGATGTAGTGGGAGTCCTGGAGAGACAGGCCCTTGGGAGTCAGCCTGGATGGTAGCATGAGGGGCTTCACTCAGTGTCCCTGGCCACTGGGTCATACTCACCCACTCAGTGACATAGCAGCTGCTATAGGTTGCCTCCAACACCACGGAGCTGCCTGGACCGTTTCTTATCCAGGTGCCACAGTCAGAGTCATTCTGTAGCTTGTGCAGCAGCCCTTGGTTGTCTGGAGGGGTGGGGAAGAGGTAAAAAGACAGCAGTCAGTCTCCAGTGCCAGAAAGGACAGTCAGCCTTGCCATTAAACCCCAAGGAGCAACTGTCAATTAGAGGAACAAGAGGGAAATCAGATTCAGATCAGACGTAGTTATAACTTAGACTATTTCTTTTAGCAGAAAGATGCGACAGGCTCAGAGGGGGAAAGTATCAAGGCAGGAAGGTAGAGGAGACACCATTGCTTGGCTAAGCAAGGCAAGTCATCAAACTTACCCCAAGTTATTAGTACAGGAGGAGAAGTTGCCTCCTGACTGAGGTTTACAGCAAACTGGAAGCTCCATAGCCCACAATGGAGCACACTGGAATAACCTGGTGTCTCAGGCTTATGCTGACCACTCAAAACAAGAGATAATGAAACACACAGCAAGACACACTGCAGCAGCCGCATAATGCTACCAGGAGTTCCTACCGGCCGCAGGCTCTCCACCTTCTCTCCCAAGAGCCAGGGGTCTGCCTGCCCAGATTCCTTTATGTACAGAAGGCAGGCTTGGTTTCAGCTGCACATCTTTGTGACACTCAGGTGGGATGCTTTTAGAAAGGGTAATTCTTCTAGCCTCATTTGCTTTGGGGCACAGTCTGCAGCTGCCTCACATTAAATACCACCATCCAGGCAGACTTCAGAGCCCAAGAAAAAGGTAGTAACTTTTAGCTAACAGAAAAGCAAGCAAGCAAGCTTCCTCAGGGTTGCTCAGTGTAGCATTTGTTCCACTAGTTTGTTGAGCTTATTGACTTCAGAAGACCTCCCTCTAGAATTTTGCATATTTGGGTGTGAAACTGCCATCTATGAGCTATGGAGTCTGGGTACATTATGAACTCTCTGAATCTTGGTTTTCTCGTCTATAAAATGGGAATGCTATCTCCTGGCAGTGGTGGTTTTAGGATTAAGCGAGAGATTCTACGGCAAGTGCCTGGCACAGGGCTTGGCCAAGCAGTGAGTGCTCAGTCAACATTGTTGGGTGAGAGTTGGGGCCCTTGAGAAGCCTTGTCACCTTCTCCACCCATTCTAGAAAAGTTTCTGTACAATTAGAGCCTGTTTTGAAATTCTAGAAAAATCTAAACTTGTTTCCTGAGAAAGGTTGATTTTGAACCCTTTCTTGGTTCTTAGAGGGAATCCTACCACAGCAATTTTTCAACAAATTCCAAAGCGTTTCATTGCCATAACTGTCCTACGGTGCTTCCCCACAGAATCTGGGGGAAATGTGGATTAGGTCATGAATTCCTCAAACTGTTTCTGCCTCTTACAGCTATTTGAAAATTTTATCATTTGGCTATGTTTCAGGCATATTTCATAAAGATGTCAGGGTTTCTTGCTTGCTTTCTACATTTTTGTTTTCCACATAAGCCACAATTTATTTACTTTGGTCACTCTTTAGGCTAGAGTGTCAGACCAGATTGTAGAGGAATTCTAAGAGATTTGGGGACGAATGGATACATTCCCCACTGGAGAGGCGAGAGTGTGGAAATTTGTCTTCTGCAGTCTTCCACCAATATTCCCAAGTTGTTCCCCTGATTGTATTTAGACTGATATTTCTCAGTTGACTAAAAATTGTAGTCAAAGCACTGCGAATGTGTACCTAGGTATCTCTAGTTCTCTTCAACTAATCACAGAGGACAAATAAGCATGTGTCTTCCTGGGAAAATTGGTGGCCCTTTTAACCACATGATGAAAAATGACATTGCAGGAATTCTGGACTCTGCCCTCAAAGACAGATGTGGCTTCCCTGATACCCTCTACCTGGATGAGGTGCTCACCACTGGGTTATTACACGCATTTACTCACAGGATTTGCCATGTTGGATTGTAATGACCTCTTTGTTGTTCAGTTTGCCTACTAGAAGCACGTAAGGCCAGGACTGTTTCATTTGTCACTGCATCCCGAGTGCCTTGGATGTAAGTTCTCTGAGTAAAGACTGAATCGATGACTATGCTTTCATTAGTGGCCATGTCCTAGGGCTAACCCCCTTGAAAATGTAGTTTCCAAACCTCACTGGTACAAATTCATTTCTTTTATGATGAGCTCAAACTCATAACCCTTAAGTATTTTTCCTTCAAGTAAATATCATGTGATTGCACATATAAGAAAGAATCTGAGGATCTGACTCATGCGAGATGTCTCAGGAGTTAAAAGGCCAGTCTCCTGACCAGACTTACTAATATTGCTTTATGCCGAGACCAGCTCAGTCGGTGAGACCCTAACCCAGCGGTGCTAGAGGAATTAAAGATACACACACAGAAATATAGAGGTGTAGAGTGGGAAACCAGGGGTCTCACAGCCTTCAGAGCCGAGAGCCTCGAACAGAGATTTACCCACATATTTATTGACAGCAAGCCAGTGATAAGCATTGTTTCTATAGATTATAGATTAACTAAAAGTATTCCTTATGGGAAACAAAGGGATGGGCCGAAATAAAGGGATGGACTCTGGCTTCTTATCTGCAGCAGGAGCATATCCTTAAGGCACAGATCGCCCATGTATTGTTTGTGGTTTAAAAATGCCTTTAAGTGGTTTCCGCTCCCCTGGGCGGGTGTTCCTTGCCCTCATTCCGGTAAACCCACAACCTTCCAGCGTGGGTGTCATGGCCATCAGGAACACGTCACAGTGCTGCAGAGATTTTGTTTATGGCCAGTTTTGGGGCCAGTTTTTGGCCAGATTTTGGGGGGGCCTGTTCCCAACAGCTTTACAAAGTAGTGAAAATTCAAGGAAAGTTACTTCTTTTGCTCATACTTGGAGGCAATATAGTATACAGTGTCATGTGAGTTTTGACAATGAGTGGACTTGGGTACAAATTCTGACTGTTACTCTGCAACCTCTGTCAATGTATTAACCTCTTTCTCTCAGTTATAGTTTTTATATCTATAAAATAGGGATAATAACATGGACAGTATTATTACAACAGATGATTAGATGAAATAATGTATGTACAGTGCTTGTTGCATAATTGCTACATTGTTACTAACATCAACAGGACCAGCCTGGGAGATGAAGGTGAGAAGGGTGGCAAATGGAAAGCAAATGCCAAGCAGGGCACTCATTTGATCTGCAGGGAGTCTGAGGAACAGCCTGGACTCGTGAGCCTGCATTCCCAAATGAGGTCCTGTGTTTACACAATGAAGTTGAAAAATCACAAAGTCTGGAACTATGTGGCGCTATCTCAAAGTCCACCTGGGATCACACCCGTCTCTCTGATGCTGCAGAGGGTCAAAGATGGATCCCAAGATAATGCCGGCAGGGCTGGGGTTAGGTAATTTTATGCTCGTTCCTCTGCTGAATCTTCCAAGAACATCATCACTTCATTTCAGGATGAGAAAATGCACTGATAATGTGTGATCCACCTTGAGGAGCCCCAGGCTTAACAGAAAAACATCCTACCCACTATTACCACAACATGAATGCTCTGTCCTTTGAATCTGAAGGGGCAAATGCTGTTCTTTGTCTTCTCTTATGTTAGAATCACCCAGTCATTTAAAAGTTGTTGTAGTGCCATTACAAACAGAATATGAGACATCCTAACCTGTACAGACTTATCAAAAGCCCCATAGTCATGGTAGTATTCATGCGACCCACATTTTATAGGCGGGCTTAAGGATTCCCCGGCTGTTCCTTACTAAAGACTTGGGAGTCCTGCGGCTGAAGCTAAGCTGCTCATTCCTCATTCATTCACTGATCTGGCCACTCAGGTCAGGAGGGCAACCTGTGTAATTGGGGAAAGGCAAACAGTGATTTCCAAAAACCTTCTTCAGTCTGGTCATATTTACATTTGAGTGTTTCATTTTAAACTGCAGAATAGGGACATAACCCCACGAGGTCTGGATAGCATGGAGCTCTTGTACAATGCTTTCTGGCCATGGAGTACAGACTCCTCGTCTGGCATTAACAGCGATTGCCCCACTGTGCCTGGAGCAGGGTCCTCCTAACTGGAGGGTGAAGTACCAAACAAGGCCCCAGGAAGCCCACTTCAAGTGTGGAGAAGCAATAATCAAAATTATCCCTCAAATATGGAGGGATGATTAGACCATTGTTGTGTTAATCAGTAATTAGGGAGCAAGGACGGCGCATCCAGCTGCTCTCTGCATGTGGTGGAAATTAGGACGCTTCTCTTCTGAAGGAAGATGTCAAACTTAATTTACTGTAAGTACTTACGCGGTTTTCCTTTTCAACAAGCAAGAATGAAGTGTAATTCAGAGTCAGTTGAGATGACTTCCATTACTGGGTCTCTTATTTCAATGCCTCTTCTGTGTCCAAGTTACAAGACCTGTCTCTAAAGTGTCTCCTGTGCTGACTGCACAGCACCTGCTCTGCTCTGATGTCTCTCCCCTCCTGTTTCACGCCTTCCTTTGCCATGATGGGTGGAAAATCACCATTCCCTTTCACAGGCAGGGGGAGACCCTACTGAATGGGTAGTTGGATTTTGAGAGAGATGTCAGTATGGTTAACCCTTGAACAATGTAGGGGCTGGGGTGCCAACCCGCCGTGCAGCCAAAAATCCACGTAGAGTTTTTTGGTCCCCCTCAAATGTAACTAATGTAATTGTCTGATGGGTTTGTCCTACTTGCTGCACAGGCAAGATCAATTCACTGAGACTATGGCATTGCAATGAGGAAAGAGTATAATTGATGTGAGACCAGCCACACGAGAGACTCAAATCAGTCTCCCTGAAGGCTTGGAGGTTAGGGGATCATCAAGCATACTTTGGTGGGCAGGAGACTAAGGAACAGGTGCTGTTGATTCATTGGGATGCACTCTTCGGGGTATGGACAATGGTCCTTGTGCACTGTGTTCGTTTCTGGATCACGGGGCCACAGGACCAGTTGGATCACGAGTCACAAGTCTGCCTTTGGGTGGGGGGTCAGTCAGTTGCCAGAATGCAAAAGCCTGAAAAATACCCCAATATATCAATCTTAGGTTCTACAGTAGTCATGTTATCTATGGGAGTAATTGGGGGAAGTTATACATCTCATGATGTACAAAACAATATGCCTGGTTATCTATAAGTACACCTAGGTCTTAGCAGAATTCCAGCCCCTCTCATCCTAACCTTGTAGACTTTCATTAGTCTTACAAAGGTGGTTTAGTTTTGGGAAGGGCTATTATGAACCCTGCTTTAAGGTTAAATCATAAACTAAATTTTTCCCAAAGTTAGTTTGGCCTACTCCCAGGAATGACCAACGACAGCTTGGAGGTAAGACGCAAGATAGAGTCAATTATGTCAGATTTCTCTTCATAATTTTGCAAAAGTAGTTTCACTAATAGCCTATTGTTGGCCAGAAGCCTTACCAATAACATAAACAGTTGATGGACACATATTATGTATATGTATTATATTATATACTGTACTCATCATAAAGCTAAGAAAAGAAAATGTTATTAAGAAATCATAAGGAAGAGGATATATGTTTCCTATTCATTAAGTGGAAGTGGATGACCATAAAAGTTTTAA